GGGCCACTGGACTAATGGATTAAAATTCCCATTGAATTATAACTTGAAAGATTTTTTTCTTTTTACAAAATGATGTATCACTGGTAGTTGACCCTTGGTAGACGAGCAAAAATGTACAGGTAGTCCTCGACTTACCATCACAACTGAGCCCGCCATTTTTGTTGCTAAGTGAGACATTTGTTAAGTGAATTTTGCCCCATTTTATGACCTTCCTTGCTACAGTTGTTAAGTGAATCTGGCTCTCCCATTGACTGTGCATGTCAGAAGGTTGCAAAAGGTGCTCAAACACATGACTCCATGACACTGCAACAATCATAAACGTGAGTCAGTTACCCAGCATCTGAATTTTGATCACTTGACAATGGGGATGCTGCAATGGTCATAAGCACAGGTGGCATTCAGCAGGTTCTGATGAGTTCTGGAGAACCGGTAGCGGAAATTTTGAGTAGTTCGGAGAACCAGCAAATACCACCTCTGACTGGAGATTTTACAGTATCCTTCCCCTGCCACACCCACCAAGCCACGCCCACGGAACCAGTAGTAAAAAAAAAATTGAATCCCACCACTGGTCATAAGGGTGAAAAATTGTCATCAGTTATTTTTTCAGTGCCCTTGTAACTTTGAGCAGTCACTAAATGAACTGTTATAAGTCAAGGGCTACCTGTATAGAGGGACTTCTAAGAAAAGTTGGAAATGCAACCAAAATCCAGGAACGTTCTATCATATGTGGTAGTCTTATAAAATCATGTTAGAAAAACACAATAATGATAATGCAAAGAATACTTAAGAATTTTTAAATATTTATTTTTATTTTATTTATTTTTCAATAGCTTATAAGATAATAAATGTAAATACAGGAAATGGGTATGAATAATTGGGGACAATAGGACAGGGACGGTAGGCACGATTGTGCCCTTACAGATCTCTTAGGAATAAAAAAGATAAATAAAAATTAATTTGGGATGCTATTCCTTCACACGGTGACCACTGCGAGGATTGTACTTGCCAAGCACTGGAAAGGAAAAAATTCAGCATGCACCTTAAGAAACAGGAAACAGGAAAAAGAACACGATCAAGTTAGCAAACTCATAGTTTGGATGCCAAAAGATCTTTCAGTGACGGTAGAAAAGGCTTTTGGCAATGCATTTCTTTCCCACAAATTTCAAGAAAATTCATGAGTAGATAAACATGAGCTGAATGCATGTAACGCCTCAGCTGTCAACTTCTGTGTCAAAACATTAAGGCAACTAACAATTTCAAATGCTATGGTGAGAGGCAGCAAGAATCTTTGAATCATCCCTTTTTAAAAGTATATTGAACGTACCTCAGGCATGTGGAAAGCAGCAGGATATCTGTCATCTTGCTTGTGCCTGCCATTTTGATGCTATTGAGCCCTCAGGGGATGTTTCTATCCCCTTTGAGGAGCCTTGTGATGGACATGTGGCAAACAATCTTCTCCCATGATATTCCCAAACTGAGATGCCCATCCTTCAGAACTTGGATGGTTCCTCTGCTTTAGCAAAGGTAGAAAGATAAAACTTTTTATTTATCTTCATGTTATAAATTACTTTAAAGATACCTTTAAATTAAACATGATTTTTAGTGGCTACTGCCCAATGGTGGGATTCAAAAAAATTAACTACCGGTTCTGTGGGCGTGGCTTAGTGGGCGTGGCTTGGTGGGTGTGGCAGGGGAAGGATACTGCAAAATCCCCATTCCCAACCCACTCCACTAACCTGCTTTCCAGTTCTGTTCTCCTGTGCAGGGCAACAAAAGAAGACCCAGACGATCAGCTGGGGCAGAGAATAGATGGGGCCGGGGCCAGTCAGAGGTGGGATTTGCCGGTTCTCCGAACTACTCAAAATTTCCACTACCGGTTCTCCAGAACTGGTCAGAACCTGCTGAATACCACCTCTGCTACTACCATAAAATGTACTTTTGGGGCTAGCAATATGGAAGTGGTTTGCTCATGCCTCCTACGGCCTATGGATGTTTCCCTCAGAACCATCCAGGACAATCCTTGACGGAATCAGCTGCATTGGTTGGTTGCTGTCATCTGCTGTAAGCAAGCTATTTTTTAGTAATTTGCTGTTCTTGTAATACTGTGACATAATTGCATTTTTAATAATGCAGTGGTTACTTTTTAATTTAAAAATTGTTATAACCCATCTGAGTAGCTTCTTATTAGAAAGGCAATATAAATGTGTCCAAATGAATAATTGTCTGTAAATAAATATTTATTGAAATTTGAATCCTGGTGCAGAATGTAGATTAAATTACATTTAAATTGTTATGGCATTTACTATATCAGTGAATAAATCAATGGTTGATAATTTAATACATCCTTGCTATCTGATGCATTCCACAGTAGTCCTTTGTAGCAGTGCCCAAAGGTCTTTTTTTCCTGATCCAACATATTTTGAGGAAAGTGGTTAGGAAAGACATTCACAGAATGTTTTGTACAGATTATGGTTAATAATAACTAATGTCAATCTGGATCAGTGTCACACTGATTCATTATTTGGCTTGGTAGCATTACACTGGTGTGGAGAGTTAGAAAGATGATCTTGATGAAATATGCAAGAACTATTACCTCACCTGAAGAAAAAACAAGAATATATGGCTGTATTTTTTGTACCTTCGGCAACCAGTTTAAATTAAAATTTCAGCTCTGCCCTGGTCATTTTTTAGTCACTGAAAAAACTGTTGTCTTTGTCAACAGGAACCAGAGATGGTTAAGCCAGAAAGATATTATTCTTGAAATACTTCAATTCTGGAATCGTAGCTAAATTGAGTGATTAAGAGTTCTCAG